TTCCATGGAGCAGCCTTGAGGATGACATCTGTGAGTGACCACTGATGCTGCATGTGGCTGTTTCCAGCTTCCCCATAGACTTTGATTTTTAAACATGAATGTGTATTTGTGAAGGTGTTCTCCCTGCAGCAGCGGGAGTACAACCTTTACACATCCTCCTCATCAGGACTGAGAAAGCTGCAAATGCTAGTTAATACCACTCTCTCATGGCCATATTTAAGAGGGAAGGTTGAACATGAAGATAGCGTTTCACTGAAGCCGGTGAGTTTCCTTGTTTCTGTGTGCACATTCAGCTGTCAGGCTGAATAAGGCTTATAAAGCTTGATTCAAAGTCAGTTTGAAGTTACTGTCCTCTTTGTGTTGGCTCCAGTTGATAATGGCTTAGTTGAATAGTTAGTTCATGAATGCACCTTTTAAATGACTTTGGGTTGGCTGGTGCCCTGTCAGCTGGGGCAGTGTGAAAGGGACTCTCCTGCTCATTCCAGACTGTGCCAAAGACTCCAAAGGGCAGCTCTCGCTCCGGGCTCTCACTTCCCAGCACAGTCCCTTACCCTTGACTTTGAACATTGTCCTGGGATAGCTCAGGGGTGTCAGACTAGCACTTGCAGAGCCATGTCATTTAAACTATACAGTGAAGAGAGGGGTTCATTTCATGGGAAAATTTCTTTAGTAGGTGCCTTTAAATTACATGCAGGAAAAAAATCACTGAAGTATGGTGTAGTGTAATTTAATGCTGGGTTAAACGATGCAATCCAATGCATTTTCATTAGATGTTCTGAGACACTTCTCAAGCATTTATGCTTTAAAGGCTGTTGGATTGCCAGCTGCAATAACTATTTTGATTGCAGCCTGAGCTGATGGTGGGCATCCTACCAGAAAAATAATGTGCTCTGTTTTAATTATGGCACCTGCACTCCAAAGTGGGAGCCTGCGTCACAGTGCATGGCACAGTTGTACTTGATACGGTGGAGCAGTGTCATATGCAACAAATGGAGGCGAGAATGTTTGCGGAGGGGCTGAGATGTGGGATGTCATAAATTGTGGAATGGTTTGTGCTGGAAGGGACCTTAAAGCTCCTCCAGCTCCAACCACTGCCCCGGGCAGGGACACCTTCCACTAGAGCAGGTTGCTCCAAGCCCCTGTGTCCAACCTGGCCTTGAACACTGCCAGGGATGGGGCAGCCACAGCTTCTCTGGGCACCCTGTGCCAGCGCCTCAGCACCCTCGCAGGGAAGAGCTTCTGCCCAAGAGTTCATCCCAGTCCCAGCCTTGGCAGCTGCTGGTGTGCTGCGGGGTGCTGGTGCTCGTGGCACTCCAGGGAACCTGTGAGGATGTGGTCACAACAGCAGCTATTTTTTCCCCACATCAGTTCTAGCAAAGCTGTTCTGTGAAGCAGGTTCTGCTGTTGGGCTGTCAGGGGGAGCCGTGCAGCAGGACTATTTGCATGTTGGTGGCAAACCTGAGGCAAAGAATGAAGAAGGATGCAAATAGAGTAGAGGATTTCTGTGTTGATTTGTTTTGGTGTATTGATTTTTGCCGTACTGTGGAGCAAGGGCAAGCTTATGAAGTGGTGTTTCTGGCACTGGTTTAGTTTGGTTCCTCACAGTAGGAGCAGAATTAAGCCAATGAAAAACACATTGAAAATGTTACACAATCAGTGCTGGCTCCAAGCAACTTAAGGGGATAATCACTCGGTCCATTTGGCCAGAGGTACAGAAGAAATGGAAGATGATTATTTGTGCTGCTCTTACCATCCTCTCCTTCATGCTATGGCCCCTCATAGAAACAAGGAACAGAATTTGCTGCTTTTTTCTCATTAGTGTAGAGATTTTTTTATTGCTACGCTAAATAACGGTGATGTCAGAATTTCTGTTCATGCGTGAGCTGTGGGGGAATGGTTGCACGTGCTGTCTGCCGTCCTGTTGATCCCCATGCTGTAAATCTGCCTGGGCTGCAGATTCAGGGAGGAAGGCATGAGGCTATGTTAACCAGGCAGGGTGTCCTGCCAAGCTTGGCTCTGCCAGGGCTTTGGAACAGGAGTGCTAAGGCTTTACAGGAGTGATTTGAGCATCAGTGCTGTTGAATTACTGCTTCTCAAGAGGATTTTGCCTGTGTTCTTGCTTGGAGAAGATGAGAACATTGGAAAAAGGAAAAGAAAATCAATTGTGTGCATTGGTTGAAGGCTTAAGAGGAAGAATAATGTTTATTCTGACTGCAGGTGCTCCCAGTGAGGAACAGGAGGAATCTCATCTCGTGTCTACTGCAGGTTTTCACTGCAGGATGAGGAGGGTAGGAGTTGCTACATGGATTTTTTTCTTACAGAAGCAGTATTTCCTGCTTCCTTCTCAATAAGTTTTGTTTTAGCACTAAAGGGGCGCTTTCCATCTTCTGTGGGCAGAAAGGCTGTTTGGTCTGAAGGGGAAGACAGTGTTTGGTCACCTTTTGTGCTGTCGGGCAGCCCAGTTTCCTCTGCTTGCCCTGGGGACACTCGATAGACAAGTGAACCTCTGAAGTTCAGGGCCTGCAGAGGTGGGTGGGTTTATTAACTGTGAGAGGTTCAGGAAGGCCAGAGGTTTCCATGAAAACTGTCTCTTCAGTCAGTGTGGAACCTGCAGAAAGACAGAACAAACCCTCAGCTACGATTTCATGCCCATATGCACAGGATTTCTTTTTCTTACAAGGCCCCGTATCTAGAAATACCAATACGTGCTTAAAGGCAGCATGGTTTCAGGTAGCACTTAGTTCCCACTGACTCCTGTGGGACACATCTACCTGCTCCCAGGTCAGCAGAAGTGTCAGTTGTGCGCTGAACTCAAAGCAGCATCTGCGAAGTGGGGTCCTCCTTGTACGTAGACTGTGAACAGAGTCCTTAGTTCTGAGAGAACAGATTGACTTTGGACGCAAGAAACATTCTCTGCTGCTAACTCGTGCCTAGGAAGTGCTAAAACACTGTGTGGTGATGGGACACGTTCTGCTGCGCGTTGGGTGTTTTCATTACAACTGGTCCGTGCGTGTCCTCGGTTTTTGAGTCAGCCTCTGCGAAGTGAATTCACAAAAACCATGGAACTCCTCCTCAGTCCTGTGCAGGGTAAAACTACCTTGAATCCTCACAAGTCCTGGAACTTTTATCTTTAGTAAAGAGGAGCAGCTGTTCCTCCAGCTTGGACAGACGATGGCTTTATGCTGAGAGTGGGTCCATACTTCTCTGCTGACATTAAAGCATCATTGGTGGGCAACTGCCTGACCTTTGCCAGTAACTGGAGATTTGCTGTGCTAAGGCTTCTGGGCAGAGCACATCAGCTTTCATTAGCTGGGTCTGTTTGAAATCATAGAATCATAGTTAGCTTTATAAACGAGGGCCAGAGTAATAACAGTGGGGACGTTTGCTCACTCTTGTTGGGGGCAGCTTTAAAGGAGAACTTGCTTGGGCTGGGACTTGCAGTGTACTAGTGCCTTACTACATGGCCAGAGAGAGGGTGGTGGCCCCCGAAATGGAAGATCTGGTTTAGTTCTGTGGGTGCTTTTTTCATTCCATAAAGTGTGCGGGGAGGAAATACTCTGAATCAAGTGCAGGTACTTCTCAAGGGGTCAGAGTGCTCTGTATCACCAGTGATCTTTTCCCTCTCCCTAAGACAGACCAGCTGCTGCAGAAAAAGATGTGGGATAAGTCTCTGTGTGTGTGAACTTTAAACTTGCCATAGGCTGTTTATCTTATGGTGCTTGTGTCCCTGTGATCCAGCTTTTGAATACTCCTGATCTTGAATGATAGCACACTGCAGGGAGCTCCTTCAGTTAGTGCTGCTCCTGAGGTTTTGTGGAAGTCTGGTGTTTAGGGATTGCATCGGAATTTTTGTCCTTGATAATAGCAGGCAGGAATCTGTGATGAGATTGCTTTAAAGCAAATGTTCCTTATGTAAATCTATTATCTAAGTCACCTCAGCCAAGTGTACGGAGAAGGCTTCTCAGTTATAAAAATGTAATTGCCTGAGAAATGTACCTCAGCTGCTCCTGAGCTGTGTCAATGCAGCACTTGGGGATGTAGTATTTGAGATCTAATAAAGCCAGTTTAAAATCGCTCCTAATCAGACCTCTGCAATCAAATGCAGTTGTCATTTAGCACTAAGCCTGCAAGGAAAGCGGGTGGGAGGGGAGCCCCCATGGCTGTGGGTTTCTGCAGTGCTGTCTTTGGTCTGCTCACCTCCCTTGTCCCTTTTTCATACAGTTCTCTCTACTCTGGTGGACTTGTCTCTGTTTAGGCAGTTCCTGCAGCACATCTATAATATGATCTTGTGCAAATGATTTTGTGTCTGTGGGCTTTGATTTCCTCAGTAAGTAAAGAGGTGTTATCACACAATCTTCCCTGTGATGTGTTAGATATTAGCATGGAGGATGAAAAGTGCCATCCTTGGGATTGTTTGTGCAGGGGCAGTTGGGTGCAGGCTGCGGCGGATTCCTAGAAACGTCAAGCCTCATCCATGTAAAACTGCAGAGCAAATACTCTGGAGACAGCCACCTCGATGGGCTTTAGTTAACTGGTAACATCTGTTTTCTGCCTGTTCTTATGCTATTCCAGTTTGTGTTCAATTTAACGCGCCTTGTGCAATGCTTTGGACCCTTACCTGATGTTTCTACTCCAAGGTTCTCAGAATGTGTTAAAAGCATTATGGAATAACATGTTGGGCTAGCTCAGCAACCTTAAATATTGCTCCCATTTCATGGGTGGGGACTGTTACTCTGAAGGGCTGGGGTGTGAAGCAGAGAGACGGTTTAAAACCTGATCAATGAGGAAATACATCAGTAGTTGTTCCTGTAAACCAGAAGGTGTTAAAAGCCCGGGGTGGGTTTCCCATCACTTGCTGAGCAGCTCCTGAGTTGAAGCTGTACCAGGCTGTGCTGTGTAGCTCTGAAGCTCCCTGTGCCAGGCCATGTGCCTCGGCCGGTGGCAGATCTGTTAGCAAAGGGCACAGTGGTGAGTGTAACCTTCCTCTTGGTTTCTTGCAGGTTAACGGGTTTCCAGCTGCCTGCTCCCATTGTGAGCACAGGGCTTGTGCTGTCCTTGTGGCTTGTGAGTGATTACGCGGTCAGTGCTCAAGGCTTCCAGGCAAGCTATGAAGGTAAGTCTGCCCAGCTCAGTGGTTGTCTCGAGTTTTATCTGCATTTGGCTTATGGTAGGGTGGAAACTGAGGTGCCCAGTTTATAGCAGGATATATACATACGCAGACACTCAGTCCAAGAGAGGAGTGCCTGGTTCTTGTATGAATTGGATCCATTTGTTCAGAATTCAGGTTGCTGGGTCCTTCCCAGTGTGATGTGTTCTTTCCTCTCAGCATCTGCTCTCCAAACATCTTTCAAAGCTTACTCTCCCACCAAAGCTAGGATTCCTGGGAAGGGAGGGGGATGTGGGATTTGACAGTGAAATCTGTTAACAGCAAGCATACTGCCCTGGGTAGCCACTGGGATTTACAGCCGAGACAGTGGAGACACAGAGCGGTGCAGAGGATGCCCAGATTAGTGCATTTTACCCTTACATTCTCTTTGTGTAGTTATTTTTTTCCCTGCCCCTTCCTTCCCAAGTACTTTAATTCATCTCCTGTGTTTCTTGTCATAAATGATGTCCAGTGTTTGGTGGTTGTGGAGGTAATGTGAAGGCTTCGTAGCTTCTGAGGATCTTGGACAGTGGAATTGTCAGATACTGAAAAAACTGTTCATAGTAGGAGGCAGGTTGTGATTGTGCTATGGCCTGGTACTGCTGTGTGAATGACATGATAACCATGGTGAAGTTCCAGCTATATTTGTGTTGATTATTGAACCTAGAATGTTGTTTGTATCTTCAGAAATGTTTTTCCTTGGAATCCTTAGAAGTTCTCAGCCTCAATGATAATTCCTGGTGACGAGTCCTACTGGCCAGTTACCCAGCATGTGAAGCTGAGCAGAACATTCAGGTGCTCTTGTAGCCTCTGCACTTGACAGTTGTTCAGGGTGGTTGTGTTTAAATCCCCTCTAATTCCTCATTAAAACCTTTGCTCTGCCTTGAGGCAGCAGCAGCACTAAGATGTGTTTATTAGTCTCGAAGTGATGTGTTACGGGTGTTCAAGTCCATGTTCTGTGTGTTCCAGGGTAAGTGCCAGCTGGGGCTGTGTGGGGTGGTCAGGCCGGGGGAGCGCAGCAGTGTGGGAATGAAGGGCTTATCCTGTTGTCCATTTGCAGAATCTCTGCTAGAACACATGTCAATCAGTGTCCACCATTGCTCTCAAATCATGGGATAGAGGACATTTGATCTTTAAGGTCCCTTCCAACACTAATCGTGCTATGAGTCTACAGTTCTGTGTAGCTGGTTTTGTGCTTTCTTGACATTTAGAGTTCATTTTTTGGCATTTACACACAGTTACTTGTACACTTTTTCATGTTTTTCTTTATTATCTTGATGCAGCAGGTAATCTTGTACAAAAGCTTGTTCCAGAGCTGCCCTTTAGTCACAGATATTTTAAATTTTCTGAAGTTTATTTGACTGGTGATTTGGAGGCTTTAAAGCAGGTAACTGAGTGCATCTCCAGGGGAAAAAAGAAATGGACTTAAAACTTAACCTGAGGCACTGAGTGTCACAGAGCACATGTGTAAATGAAAGCTTCATTGGGAGGGAGGGAGAGGGGCAGTTTGCTGAAAGTGCTGCCCTGAACCTGCCTCAAAACAAGCTCCTTGCTCTTTGGCTTGTTAACTAAGACTAAAGGAGGAGATAAGTGTGGCTTTGATCAAAGGGCCGTGCTGCTCCTGTAATGCAGTTTCAGTTCGTTGGCAATCTCCGACTCGGTGAATAGCTTGTGATTCGATAATTCATGTTTAAAGACAGAACAATGCATCAGAGCCCTTGCAGTAAATGGCTCCTTTATGATCTGCTATCAAAGTAGGTTCATTTTTCTTCTCCTCCCTTTAAGCAATCGTTGGGAAATGCACCGAGAGGAACAGAATTTTAAAACTGGAACAAAAGATGTCAGGAACTTTTTTACAGGGGGACAGGAAGAACATGCGTAGTTGGAGGCATCAAAGTGACACAAACCCATTGTGCTCACGCTGTCTGCTCTCCCCTGACCCGCTGGGAAATACAGAAGCGGAGGTTGCCTTTATCTGAGTTAATATCTTGCTGGCTTATCTCGTTGGTATGATGCCTGCATGATAAGATCTCTTACAGGCAATTGCTTGAAAACAACACAGAGTCTCTGCTCATACCTGTGGATGTGTTTCTTCATTTCTGGTTCATTCAGCTCAGCTCTTCATTCCCTGGCTGAACACGGGAGAGCTCGAGTGCAGTGCTGGCGGGGTCTGTTGAGTAACAATTGCACTCTGAGAAGTCAGAGGTGCTTTAAGAGCAGCCAGAGGCAGAGTGGGGCTGGGAAAGTCTGCAGAGCCTTTTCTCAAGCCCCAGGTGAGGCAAGTGCCACAGTGGAATTTGAGGAGCAGGCAGCTTGGGGCTGCTGTGCTGCTTCCTCCCTGACCTCATGGTTTTCTGACTCCATTGTGTGTTATTGTGCCTGGCTGCTAGATCTTCCTTAATCCTCTTTTCCTTGTTGTCTGATTTCCTCATCTTTCTTCATTTAGTTTTTAGTATGTTGCCAGCTTGTTTCTATCCGTTTTCATTGTCTGTTTCTTCTTCTCCAGTGTCTTATTGCTTTTTGTGATTTTTCTCTGGATTCCAAATATTGTTTCAGAGCTCAGTAAACAGCAGGGATTTAAAGTCATTCTTCTGCTGTGGAAGAGAGTCTTGAGAGCAAACAAAGGCTGGGGATGCTGCATCTCTGGGTTTGAGGCACCAGATCACAGGGTGACAGCTTCAGATCCGGCTTCTCTTCCCAGCTGTGGTGCATATGTTCTGCATGATCTCGCCTTGGTTGTGTAGTCTGGGTTCCCATCTTCTAGGTGGCAAGACAAGGGCAGAATGGGTCAGTTCATGACTGCATGTCCTGCATTCAGGAGCTGCTCTGTGGCATTGGGAACATGGGAAAACCCACAGTGATGTCACAGATGGAGAGGAGGCACAATTAGGTCAGCACCAGTACCTGTCAGCAAGTGCATGATTTGGGAAGAGAAATGGGGGCGGCCGTTTCCGTATGACTGGGAGGGAGAAATGGTTGGCTTTTGCTGAATTAAACCCTGAAAATCTCATTTCCATTTAACTACAATGCTTTGATCTGAAGGCGATGTTTTTACTTAAGAGATTCATCTACTAAAAAGAAGTAGTTTTTACGAAGCTCAATTTCAGAATGTATCATTTAGAAAATACTGAAGTGCTTCCATGCTTTTAGCTTTGTGAAATTTGGGGTTTTCCCTGGTAAAGTGTCCTTTGCATTCAGCCTGATCTCACAGTTAGCCCTGTTCACCCTCAGACTCCGGGATTTCTTCCTTTTTTTATGACTAAATGGTGGTTCTCCAAAACCCTGAAGCCTGAACCAGCTGCTGGGGAGTGTTTCATTTGCTCTGCTGGAGAGACAGCGATAAATAATCCACGTTAGAGTTTTACTGGAACGTGAATCTCGACAGTCTCATCTTCTGAAAAATATTCCTGAAGATTTAATGACCAAGAATGACCGGTGCTCCCATTGATTGCTTCCCTGGAAGATGGGGGAAGGCACATGCCCAGGCTGCAGTGTGAAATTAATTGCAGTCACTGCTGCCACACACCTGATGAACACCTCGCAAGTTGACATTTAAAACAAATTGGGCAAGTCTTTTACAATAAGAGGGAAATTGATATAAATTCCACCTCATTTCCTCAATAATGCTAATAACAGTTCCTGATGAATAGCGGGTGGGGTTTTTAGTTTACTAATGTAGATATAAAGTAAAATTACATTACTGTTTAGAAACCATTACCTCCTGGCTGTCTTGTTAGCCCAGAGGGTAGGAAAAATAGAAAGGGATTTAAGGAAGGATCCCCAAACCTGCTCGTTATCATACATGACTAGAGAGCAGTGCTGTAAAGCACTTGAGGCTCGTGAGCCTAATGAAGCTTTATGCTTTACCAGGCTGCTCAGATCCTTCTTGCAGAGACTCACTGAGCATCCATCAAACACTAAGCAAGCAGTCAGGGCTGGAGTTTTTCTGTATCCTGAGGGGGAGAAATGAGATTTCCTTTGTTTGCTATCCAGGTGTTTTCTTCAAGCAGTGCAGAAGTCTGGAGAAGGCACAGGGCTCTCGCTTGAGACTGGTCCTGCTGTAGCTAGACCAGTGTTGTCCAGGGGATTTCTGGTAGGAACAGGGAGGAACTGGATTCTCACTTTAGCTTTGTCCTTGTCCTGCTACATTATCATAGAATGCCAGTGGTTTGCGTGGGAATTGATCTTAAAGCTCCTCCAGCTCCAATCCCCTGCCACGGGCAGGGACACCTTCCACTAGAGCAGGTTGCTCCAAGCCCCTGTGTCCAACCTGGCCTTGAACACTGCCAGGGATGGGGTTCTCAATCAGCTGTGCCTCAGTTTTGCTTTCTCAAATGGGATTACGTTTTCATTCATGGTGTTAGGGTTCTAACAAGACAAGTGCTATGTGAAAGCAGAGGGATGTGGTAACGTTGACTACCTCGGGAGTCCTCATCTGTGTACCTTCTAGAGTTTTAATGTGAATTTTTTTCTCCAAAAGCAAAGTTCAGTCAAACTCCTGGAGAGAACTGGGGTGTTTTGGCCTCTGGACTCTATTGTTGCACTACCCAGCAGTGCTTCTGCAGCAAGACTTAGCAGTAGGTGAAGATTTTCCTCCCCAAGACATCGTGTTTGATTACAGCTGCAGCAAATTTGATAGCTGCAAACACTAAGTGCCTGATTGAAAAGAAACAATTATGCCTAGAAGAACACTGCTTATTTTAAGAAATTAGAAGCGTTTAAATACAGAGGGAAACAGCCCCAAGTAAATGGTGCTGTTTTCCTTCATAATAAATACCCTGCTCTTTCTCAAGCACAAATATCTCATTCTTTAGAAGGTTGTTTGTGGAGCTGGGCATACGTATTTAGAAAATACAATTAAAACCTGGTCCCTGTCCCTTTCTGACCATTCATTTTGCCAAACCCAAGTGAGGTTTCCTGACTGCACAGCGGCAAGATATTCACAGAGCTGTGAAGCTGCTTCGTCT